AATTCGTTTTTCGGTAAATTACAATTCTTGCAAATAACGTCCCATCTATTTGAAAGAGCATTTATTGCTAAATCTGTTGGAGTGTTAGTGTAGAGTGATATTACGTCCAACGACACCAACGTAAACCCATGATCAATTTTAATGTTTTGTAATTTTTGAACCAATTCAAAACTGTTCTCGATGTTACTAGTCGCTTTAGGAATGCTTTTCACAATCAGACCATGTAAGAACGCTGCCAAGTTGTACAATGCACTATCCAAAGAGGATATGATGATTCTGAATGGGCAATTTAATTTGTGAATTTTTGGTAACGCATAAGCCCTAGGAATGTTACCGTCGCTACAATAGAGTTGTTTGTAGGTTAATTCCGAGATGTAATTTTGTTTTTTCCATCCTGCCAACAGTTGCCTCAAGTTATTGTTAATTTTACTTGTAGGATCCTTGGGAATTTTCATGTACGTGTCTTTGTTATCAAGCATTGTTTTAACTTTTTCAAGGTATATGTTTTTGTCTAGTGCTACCGTTAGGTTACCTTTGTCGGCTTTGGTGAAAATAATGTTACTATTGTCCTTTAAACATTGCTTAAAACGTGTTGCTTTTTGTAGTTTTTTGATAATTTTTTTATTTTAACGTAATCCCCTTTTAGGATACACTCTTCCCAACGTTTCTGCCATTTTTTTACCAGGTATGTAATAAAACCGGATTTTTTAAATAGAAAATACATGTTTATTGCATGAAAATGATAAAAAATATTTTATTCGAAGTATTGCCCATCGCTAGCTATACAGTTTTCCCACCTGTCTGAAAATTTGTGGATGCCACGCCAAAAAAATTGTTGCTATTTTGAGCCAAACCAGTGATGTAGCCATTTTCGTACATCTTCGTAAGAAGTGAAGCGCTGCTGACCAATTGCGTGTCCCATCGATGCAAATAAGTAGTAATCGGACGGAGCCAAGTCTGGTGAGTAAGCCGCACGCGAAAGTATTTCCCAACCAAACGCCTCAATCGTTTCCTTGACCAGTTTTGCTGTGTGAGATGTTGCATTATCAGCAAATCACTTTGTGTTGCCTTTTTTGATATTCCGGTCGTTTTTCACGCAAAGCTTGATTTGAATTGTTCATTTGTTGTCGGTAGCGTTCAGTATTAACGGTTTCGTCAGGTTTTAGCAGCTCACAATAGATCCCACTTTTCTGATCCCACCAAACACAGAGCATTGTCTTCCGTCCATAGCGATTTGGCCTTGCAGTCGATGTCGATGGTTCGCCTGGAGTTACCCATGATATTTTACGCTTAGGATTCTCAAAATATATCCACTTTTCATCCCCAGTCACAATTCTATGGAGAAATGACTTTCTTTTGTACCTGGCGAACAGCATTTCGCAAGTGGTTTTTCGGTTTTCCTGCTGTCTTTCGTTCAGTTCACGTGGAACCCATTTTCCCATCTTCTGGATCTTTCCCATGGGTTTCAAACGTATGGAGACGACTTCTCGTGTCACATTCAATTGATCCGCAAGTTGTTGTTCAGTTTGAGCGTCATCCTCATCCAACAATGCTTCAAATTCGCCGTTTTCAAACTTTTTCGGTGGTTTTTCACGTTCTTCGTTTGTCACGTCAAATTCGCCACTTTTGAATTTTTTAAACCACTCAAAGCACTGTGATTTACCAAGAGCATGCTCACCGTAAGCTTCGACAAGCATTCCATGCGATTCTGCAGCAGTTTTCTTCAAATGGTGACAGAAAATCAATGCTGTCCGCAAATCGTAGTTTCCAGGCACAAAATTCGACATGTTCAACGTTATTACAAACTATGCTGTTGTATGAAACTTGTATTGTTGTGAGTTAAAAATCTTTGTCAGATGTCAAAACAAGGAAACGGCGTCAATGACGCGGTCTGACGGCAACTACATTGACGGCTATGGCCATCTATTGGTAAATTCCGGTTTCATATTTACATACCTGGTACATGCTCGACACATTGCTCAAAGTCAAACAAGAAGAGCATAGTTGTTGGTTTCATGTACAAGCATGTACCATATAATGCTAATTTTATGTTATTCGTATTACCCATTTTAACATGTTCCACATTCTAATCTTGAATCAATAATGATGATGATGATCATGATGAGATTGTTGCCTGCATTAATCGCTCAATATCTGCATGTCCCTCGATGAACGCCTTCCATGTACCATGAGGCAGGATCATACGGTTGCCTCGATTGTTATTGATCTCAATTTGTACGTGAGATGTAGGCCCCACGACGATTCCAAAATGTTCAGGAACTTGTACGCTGTCAATGTTAATGCATATCTCCTCATCAAAATGTAAGGTATGTAGAGGTATGTGAGGTATGTGAGGTTTTGAAGATGTATGAGAAGGTGGGATGTAGAAAAAAGAAACCATGTATAGACCTTAGAAAAAAATAGATAACATATCAAAAAAATTTATAAAACTTGAACTTACTGTCCCTCGCACGCCTCTCATCCTATTGAATTGGAACGTAATAGTTCATAGAATGAGATGTTTTCAAGGGTAGTGTCTGATACAGTAGAAGCAATCTGCTCTATGTAGTAGGAGCGATCCATAGAGCGACTTATGTAATAAGACTTATGTATCATAAATCTCGTTTTCTTAAATAGTGATCCCCACCACAAATTTTCAGAAGCTTCGCATTCCACTGAATCTTCAGCGTATGTAGTGAACCAACTGACTGAATCAGTAATGTCGTCATAAGTCTCTCTAATTAGTGCTTACCATTTCATATTTTCCAGCAACATATCCAAGTTATCTTTGAAAATTATTATTTTTTCTCATCACACAAGAGTTATTTCAATTTCGCCTCTATGTGTGTGCGATTTTACTTTAATGTAGATATCATAATTACATTTTATGACATTGAAGTAATATATGTTCCACAACGTCTATGTGTGGATGAGCTTCGCTGTATGTTCCATCAGTAACGTCATGAATCGTACAATGATATGTAGGAATATTTAAAGTTACGTAATCATCAAACTTCGAATCACACACATTGATATGTTCACATATCTGCTATGTCTTATGCTTGGTACACCATGTATTACTGCTAGTAAGCTCGTTTCGAAATCCAAGTTCTTCATACTACGACTCAAATTCATCATCGACGAGCAATATTGTTTATCAATTTCACACAGAGTAACGTAAACGTACAATTCTTGTTTAACGTTTAAAGTATAATATCCTCGCAGACGTTTTATGATGCGATGACTGCGGCGGTAAATATTCACTGAGCGATTGATGTATTAGAGTTCTCTACCGTTCATGCGTTTTCTATTTCATTATTTTTATATATTATCATTTATTTTTTATTTTTTCATTTTTTTTATTCATTTTTTTTTCGGACGGTGTATTCAATGTGGAATTTTACTTATCTTTACAAATAGTAGCGAGTTAATTTTCAGTGTAATTGCCATCAAGCCTACATTAAACTATGCAATGACACATATATAAATATGCACTTTGACAATATCGAATCTTCCTTTATATCTAAGGAATCAGCGTCAGCGACAATAAAGTCTATCTGTTCCCATTCTCTTTTAAAAAATGAGTTTAGGCAGTGTATTCAACGTGGAATTTTACGTATCTTTACAAACATAGTGTTAGTTTCTTAGAGTAATGTTATAAAGAATAATGTTTCCATACAGACGTACACCGCCGGAATCTAAGTTATCCTAATTGCAAAGAATTCGTTACTCGCATATCTTTAATGTTAAAAACGTTATGTTATATATCTTTTTAAAAGTATAAAAGACCGACATTGTTGGTCTCTTAGATAAAAATAAATACTTTATTTGTTTGAATGTTTGCACGGTCTATGTTCACTGCTACAATATTAAATTATTATTTAATAACGACAATTATTTATTGTTATAATAGGATTAATTAAATGGTTGCAATATGGTTCTATCTCATTATTGTGATCATAAACTTTCTACTGATGCGACGATAAATTTGTGACATTAGCTATACCGTTTCTAAATATATTCCCATACAATTATACATTATTAATTCAGTCCTTTGTTATGGTTTTCATTTTTTTGTTTTACATGTACCTTATAAAATTTAATTACTTTAATTACAGGAAATATTAATTTTATTTATAAAAGATTTTTGTTCCTGATTTGACATTCTTATAAATAAACTTTACCAAGAAATGATATACAGAGTGAGGAAAAAATATGGAAACCCTGAAAAATCTAAAAAAATATAAGTTTTACAGAAAAATGTTTCAAATAAAAGTTGTAGGATTTACAAAAGTCTATAGTCAATTGTCTCATCAGTTTGATCCTGATTGGCGTCGTTGAGGTCAAGTCAAAGTCACGTTGAATTTTTTAAATGGAACACCCTATTTTTTATTGCATATTCTCATAGCACATTTCGAAAGCTTTCCAAAACACTATAATTAAGTTCATTTTCGTCAAGTACTTTTTGAGTTATAAGACTTGAAGGTTACAGTACCTCCGGCATTAACATTATCCAAGGTGTCCGATCGGCGGCTAATGTTTTGAATGTTGTTCAGGATTATCATCTGGGTAACATTTGTCAAGATCAAAGCATCATTGGTGATTATTTTATTTTCTTATTTTCATTTTTACGTAAAAATGAATTTTTAGTGCAAAAATGAAAATAAGAGGAATAATCACCAATGACCTTGATCTTGACAAATGTTATCCAGTACATGATCCTGAACAACATTCAAGAGGTTTTAGTCGTCGGTTGGACAGCTTGCGTAATGCTAATGCCAGAGGTACTGTAACCTTTAAGTGATTCGTAAGGGTTAAGTAGAGGTCAAATTAACCTAGGCGACATTATTACAGATAATCGAGAGTATTGGCGTTGTCTTGAAAGATAATCCACAGATTTAGTTCTCTTTCAGACAAACGTAACATTTTTAATAAAAAGGAAATTTTACAAATAAATGATTTATAAATATTTTACAATTAAAGAAAATTTTCTTTTGATCGGTAGAATACTTAAAAGCAATTTTTATTTATTTAGTTATTAAAGAAGAATGACCATAAAACTACGGAGACAAACAGTATGCAGAAAAATCATGTAACTTAAATGAATGTTTAGGCTATAAAAGGATTATAAAACTAAACCATGTGTCTGAATCTCTAATATAGATAAAACTCGTTTGTTAGTGAATCAAATGGAAATTTAATTTTGATGGTATCGTTTAATTTTTAAACATTTGAAAATTAGATCTTAATTATCAGAAAAATATCAAGAAACGAAAGTGTGAAAAATGTTTAGAAAGAAAGGGTGAAGGAAGAATACTCGGCATCCGGCGTGGGCGAATTCGTAACCTTTCGATTTCCGGTCGAACGCTCAACCATCTGAGCTACGGCATGGGCACCACCGTGTTCGTCTTTTCCAGTGTCATTCAAATCACCATTCACAAGCATTTTATTCAAGTTGCACTGTTGTGCAGCCGGAGTGCGTTTTACAAATACTTGTTCTTAATAAAATTTTAATTAAGAATGAACTTATCGC